TTTAGCTTATTATGTTCATTAGTTGATTATTGTTTTTCTGCATATTTGTTTATTAATATTAGTAACTAACAATATTTTAATAATATAATTGTGTTTAAAAATTAACAAAGTTTGAAAAGTTTGACCATTACAACATTTACTAAACAGAATTTGAATTTTTATTGTTTTTTAACTTTAATTTACCTATTCTTCTAACATAAACAAACTAGCAAATATGAGTTCTATCTCAGTAAAATGATGTCCTAATAAGAAGTTGAACAAAATACCTACCATAAGAGGTATTTAGTCGTTATAATAATTAAAAATATACATTAAGTTTAGGTTTAGGGTTATATTATATCAATATATAAAATATGAAGTTTATGTTAATAAATATTAATTATAAAATTTCAGGTGTTTTAATATATACAAAATACATCAGAAAAAAAAATAAATTTTAATATTTATTCAGCTATATTAAATTACTACAGAGTGCGATTTTATCAATAAAAAAACGAAATCAAGGTACAGAATAAAAGGATAAATCATTCATAAAAAGAAAGAATTGAATGGTAGTGATTTAATTTGTTTTTATTTTGAAAAGATAGTGAAATGTTTTCACAAATATTCTAGTTATGCCTCTGTAAAGATATATTTACCTAATATATAAAAAAAATAATGAGTTATGAAACGAATTACATATTATTTATTAATATATTTATATATATATATATATATAGATTTAATATCTAACAACTAACAGTTTTTCTAATTTCATGTATACATATTATAAATTGTCTTAGTCCAATAATAGTATTGTTTTCATTCCACTAATCATTATACAATAGCTTCGAGTATAGATTGTCATAAATAGTTAAGAACTATAATTAAATATGAACTAATACTTAAGAAAACCATAAAATTTAACATAATTCAAAATTAAATTTTATACTAATCACTGTTAACTTCCTATAATGGAAAAAAAATTATAAAAATTTTACATAACAACAATGGTAACTTTAAAATCTGGAACAGGTTTTAATAAATGCTGAAAATTAAATAATGGTTATCATTACATTTTTATAATATATATAAACAATAAATATATATATATAAATAATACTATACGTGTGTGAAAATTAATTTATAGGAAACAGTCGTTATTCTAGCAATTTTTGGTGGTATTTTTCCAATTTAAGGTTTCTGAGAATTCCTCAATGACATTCATTATAAATTTTTACATTTTATTATGAATGTTCTTCATCTTATCACAATAGTTAGACTTAAAAATATACAATATATATTATCATTCACTTATAAAATATCTATTTATAAAACTGACTTAAAAGTTAGACTACTCTAACTAAAAACCTATAATAATATTTTAATAACTCAAAATAAAATTTTTATGAAAATTATTCAGCGAGTTTGATACTGTTATGAATGATATATTGGTCTTAACGCAGAATAACGTGTATAATAGTGATTTAAACATATACATAATGTAACTTAACTATTTTTACGTACAAATCAGATTGTCTAATTAATAATACTGCACATAATAACAAGAATATTTGAAAATATAACAACGATTAACAAAAAAACAATTATAATTATTGATACAGAATCAAAACAGTTTTTTATGGCTTTAAAAACAATCAAGTATTTGATTTTAAAAAATTAGAGAAATTTGAATTGAAGGAAAATTGAAAAGTATATTCAGTCAAACTAGAAATGTAATAATCTATTTTCAATGCGAATCAAATCTTATAGAGACAAACATGAAATTTTCAAATCAAGCTTTCTAGTCATCATTTTATTTTTAATTTTCAAACTAAAAAAATATACAGATTGGATATAATTTTTGTATAATTACCGAACAAGTTGTTTAAAGAAGTTCAATATAACAATGTATATTTAGAGTTTTTCTAGACACTAAAAAAAAACAGATTTGCTTAAATAAAAAATATCTTATTTATATAAAAATTTGTTGCTTCGAATTTTCATTTTTATTAAAAATAATCTAAGAATTTAATTTATGTTAATCAAAAAATAGTAATTAATTGTAATTACTAAACTACTTGTATTATGATTTAATAACTTATTGATCAAATAAATTATTATTTTTAAAATAATTTTTGTGATTATTTGATATACAGTCAGTTAAAATTAATTCTTTTAATTAATGAATTTATTTATTTATAATTTTTATAAAAAAAAAACTACACTTGGTTTCATATGTAAACAAAAATTAATTGAAAATAATGCTTGAAAATAATTACTTTAATATTTATATTTTAATGTAATTTTGAAAAAAAAACGTAAAAGTACATGTACAAGGTAATTTTTTTAATTCTAGCGACTCACTCAATTTCATTTATAATAATAATATTTTTGTGCATTTTTTTTTGACTTGTGATAGTTATACAGAGTGTTTTGTAAGAAAGAATAAAGGTAAATTGTTAAAAACAATGAGAACAATAGAAACCAGTTTCCTTACTTATTGAACAATCTATACAGGGTGATTTTTTTATCATAACCCACTCAATTACTTACAGAATAATAATAATTTAAACAATTTTTTTTATTATTATCTTTAGTTACACATTATTCTTGAATTATTAACTATGTAATACTTTTTAAGTTCATCCCTTATGCCTGGTAAGGGTGTCAACTTTGTTTTTTTAAATGGTAACACATATTTTTAATTTAATAAAATGTTTGAGTTTTTAATTCAATAATAAATGGCATTTGAATTTTTAATAAAACTTAATTTGTTTATTAGATATAAACATTTAAAGTTTCAAATTTTTGAGTTAATATATAGGTATAATACACAAGGGATTACAAATACAGGTAGCTAATTGGTTTTTTATGACATCGATATTAGCAGGTACACAGCATTGTTATTATCAATGATAGTAAGGTACATTGTTGTGAGTTTATAAATACACTAACTGACAATACAAAAAGTATATCTATTGATAGTCATAATTGATAATAAACAATCCGTGACTGTGATAGCAATGTCATAAAAAACCAATTAGCTACCTGTATTTGTAATCCCTTGTGTATTATACCTATATATTAACTCAAAAATTTGAAACTTTAAATGTTTATATCTAATAAACAAATTAAGTTTTATTAAAAATTCAAATGTCATTTATTATTGAATTAAAAACTCAAACATTTTATTAAATTAAAAATATGTGTTACCATTTAAAAAAACAAAGTTGACCCCCCTCCAAAGCATAAGGGATGAACTTAAAAAGTATTACATAGTTAATAATTCAAGAATAATGTGTAACTAAAGATAATAATAAAAAAAATTGTTTAAATTATTATTGTTCTGTAAGTAATTATGATGTTATAGTAGTTATGATAAAAAAAATCAACCTGTATATGTCTCTATTCTTCTGTTATGGAATATTTAATATTTTAATAGTTATTTTTTCAAATATTAACATACATATTTAACTAGCTTAAAATAGAAAATTGTCTAATTAAGAAAATGATGTCTGGTCAAAAATATCTTTTGAATCAGTATTTCGGAAGTTCTTTTAATTTTTGTAGCTAGGCTAGAGGAAGAGTACAACGGGAAATAACTAGTGATAAAAATAACAATATCTATGTTTCAACTCTAGTCATCACTAAAAAATGTCATTAACTACCGAAGTATAATTTAAGGAAATATAGGTTTTTGTCCGATGTATTCATATACGTATATTTTTTTCTAAATAAAAAATATCTTAAAATTATATTATTCAAAGCAATATAAAATTGACACAAATTTATGATCATTTTATTTATTAAAAAAAATTTGTTGGTTATTGCAGTTGATTTTAAAATGATCTAATTAAGAAAATTAATGGCCGACAACAACTTTTAAATCAGTATTTCAGAAGTTATTCTCATTTTTATACCTAGGCGGAAGTAGAATGACTAGTGATAAAAATTGTTTACCCACTCCACACATACAGTTATAACATTAAATTGTTAATAACTTCTGAAATACTGGTTCAAAAGTTGTTATCGTTCAGTAATTTTTTTAATTAGACCATTTTCTATTTTATAAGCTAGTTAAATGTGTATGTTGGCATTTTAAAAAGTTGTTACCCTATAAGACATAAGGGATGAACATAAAAATATATTTTATAACATATAAATGGAAATATATATGAATATATGTATATGTAACTAACAAAAGCCAAAAGAAAAATTCACAAAAAAGTTATTATTTTATGAAAAATTGAGCGATTAACGTTAAAAGTATCACCTTGTGTATACAGGGTGTTCAGTAAGTCAGGAAACGGGTTTCTATTGTTCTCATTGTTACAAACAATGAGAACAATAGATACCTATTTCCTTACTTAAGGTCGATTCACACTATACGGAACACGTCAACGTCACGTCAAAATATTTAACTATGTATTTACAGATGTTGACGTTATGTAACGTGGCCGGTGTATGTGAACAATACGATTAAATACATAGTTAAATATATTAACGTGACGCTGTCGATCTGTGACGTGACGGTGACGTACCGTATAGTGTGAATCGACCTTTATTGAACACCCTATTATGTGACTCGATTATACACTAACAATAATTGTATCTGAATATTGATAAAAAATTTAATGGGCGTGGCTAGTTTTAATTAATTCACTTAAAACTCTTTATTTATTTTGTCATCAGATAATTAACTATTCTTTTATCGTTTTTACTACCTTTTAGTAATTATTACTGAAATTTTTATTCTATTTGGAGATGATTGATTTTGATATGTCTAATTGTCTAAAAATATTTTAAGTAAAAAATCAAACATTTTAAGTAAAATTACATTGATAATAAATTATAGAATCTAATCTATACATAAATTTACAGTTATTAAAACTAATATGCTACGCATTTTTATTATACGATTATAAATCCTGAGAAAATATCAAAATTAATTTATTTTTGTGCTTGTGTACCATTTAAGTTTTTTTTTCACTGTAAAAATAATTATTTATTGATGAAAGAAACTTTAATTGAAAATTTCTACTGTACTGAACTTTGTTTTTTTCTCATAATATTTATTTATTTAAAATTAATTTTAATTAATTAATTTAAAATATATATATATACATGTCATAATTCTGCATTGTTTGTTGTGAAGAAGAATAAATGTAATTTAGACTAGTTTTTTTAAAAGTTGTTTTGGACCATACAAATTATATTGGATCAATTATGCATATAAAACACATTTTAAGTAAAATTTTAAAAGTCTTAAGATATTACACTTAAACTATAAGAGTACAAAATTGAATGTCTTAAAGACATTATTAAAGAGTATTGTCTAAGACCCAGTGGCACGTTATCTGTTTACATTTATGGCCAAATTTGGTTTCATCAAGCTCACATTTCATACATGTATTTATTGACTAAAGAAATAGTTTTAATTTAAATACATAGGTATTAATTTCACACAAAATTAGAACAGGACATACCACCATTATTAGGTCAAGTCATAAAATTTTTTTCTACATACAAATCATATGTATTCATCTATAATTTATAATAAAATGATTATTGAAAATACTTATAAATAAAAAACATAGCGTTCTTTTTCAAATCAATATTAAACCAATAAGTCTTATGTATTCAAATATTGGAATAAATTTATCGATGAAATTTTATTGTACAATTTAATTACGGGGAGTCATTAGAGTCTGATCCCAAACTCTGGATTGGAAATAATGGGTACCATCCTTCAGTAACTTGGGTCAGCTTCAATGAATCTAATGTAACTTCAGCTCCACCTAAACCTTGATTGTGCTCAAACCCTTTCTGACGTTCCCAAAGCATAACTAAAAGAGATCTTCCTAATACGTCACATGCTGAATAACGAAGAGTTTGGTTGTATTCTGGATTACAATTATGACGAACAACTCGAGTTTTACGCTTCTGCAACCACCGATCGTTTTCTCGAAGATATGTTTTCACATATGTGTCTAATAAAAATATATTTCATAATTTAATAACATAATATAAAATAGCCTAAAAACAGACAATGTCGTATAAAATTTATTTTGTGTCATGATTCCCCATATAAAGTCAATCAAGAAGTAAATATTAATTTTTTAAAAACAAATTTTTATGTCAATATTATTCTTATAAATAATATTAAGGTAAATTCTTATTTGATACTTTTTTAGGTTCTGACGACAATATGACTTATTATTTTTTTTTAGATTTTAAATAGCAGTATATTAAATTTTGAAACTGAAGTTTGAATATATGTAAGATATTAGTCACATTCTTGTACAATAAATTCTAAGTGAAGTATTCAAAAAAAAGCACATGTACATGATGTCTATCAAATAATTTATTTTATGCTCACAATTTTTTTTCAAAATATTATTCCAGCCTATATAAAAATATAATTTCATAAAGAAAGAAATATTCATAATAGTAATTATAGTCAATAATTAAACAATATTAGTATAATTTATTTTTAGAGTATTATTTTATTTTGTTTAGTGTTTAAACGTAATACTAAATCATACTATACATAACAAATAATTAATGAATGGTCTAGATGTCTTTGTTATTGCATTATATATATAAGGCAATGTTAACTAAAATATCTTTATTAAATATTAAAAATATACTAACCAGGTGGTGAATCCTCAGCGCGAATACCTCGAGCACAAACTACGTCGACTTCTAGTTGACCTTTAGTCATTAATAAACCTAATTTCAATTCAATGTGAGAACCTAAAAAAATATTTTGAATGATGAGCAAGTTAAAAATTAATTAAATGTAACCTCATTACCTGAACTCATACCAAAGCCCCTTGGCATGATTTGGCCGGGTCCAAGTAGAATGGGTTCCCTGAAATATAAAGAATAATAAAAAAATTATTACTTCATTTGATTCTGATCAAATAAAGTAATTAATACCCGTTATATTCGTCTTCGTACTTATACATAATTTCGGACTTTTCTGGTACCGAATCTTTACGAGGTCGAATCGACATACTTCCTCCTACATAAGTGGATAATTAATTTTATTAAATCTTAAATACATTAATACAAATAAAATATTACTTCTCATTCCTCTTTTATCACTTATACTCATGCTTCGACCGAGTAATTCTCCTTTAACAGCTTTTAAATTCTTCAATATTTCATCTGGATCCTGGCGTGGTGTACACGAGCTTCTTCTGCGACTTTTACTTGCATAAGTTGTAACTAGCTCAGGATCTGCTAATAAATTTTATATGAAAGAATTCATTAGTTTTAAATTTAAATTTAAAATTATAATGATTAATAATTTCATACCTTTGTCTATATTTTGAGTAGATTGAAAGGAACTACGACGAGATCCTGGCAACGACCTAGAGAAGTCTTTGTTTAACTGATAAGGTTCGACGTCTAACTGTTCAGACTGACTAGAACCCCTTCGAGAGTTAGCCATGTAGGCATGATCCGGATGCAAAAACCCATCTAATTCACGTTCCTCTGAAATAAATAAATAAAATTAATTGTTTTAGAAAAAAATTGAGTAATTTATATTCTTTTATTTACCTGATACCGATCGAATTTCCCTTTTAAATCCTTTTCCAGTATCAGATATTGAACTCCTAGGAGACTTCGATGCTTTGCTATGGTTAGGAGATTCGAGTTCATACCATATCATTGCGTTATCCAAAAGTGCGCTTTGTAAATTCACCACAAATTCGCCTAAATTAAAATTACATACAAATAACGTCCTGAATCACAAAAAAAATTAATAATACTTAGATACTCACCTAGTATAACGTCTTCTTTTTCGGGCCTATAATCATAAAGTGTTACTTCCATTTGCTTTTCAATTAGTGTTTCAGAGCGAACGTTTGGCATTTCTAAGGTCGTGTTCCACATTGGATTGAGTGACGGTTCAGCAATATCGGTTTTAACAATATTTGTGTCAACGCTGTAAAAAAAAATAAACCTTAATTACAAAGACTAATAAATCCACCTATAAATTCCAACTAAAAAAAAAAAGTATTTTCTAAAGAAACAACTCTAAACAAACTTGATATAGTTTGAATGAGTTGTAAAATAAATGAAATTATTTTACAAAATTGATAATTAAAATAAAATGATTATTTTTTAATATTTTTTTATGCATTTTTCGAAAAATAAAAAAATATTACATAGTTTTTAATTTTTCTTTTTTTGGTAATTATATAATAAAAAATGTAAATAGAATAATAAAAAAAAAAATTTCATTATGGACAATAAAAAGCAATTTAGTTATGTTCAGATTTTGTCAAATTGTTTACCATCTGTTCTTCAATTTTCAAGTCAATCATAAACTTTGAGTATTTTATGTTAAACACAGCTTTAAGTATAAATTTGTGTAAAATACTATAAACGTAATTTTTAAAGAACTTTTAGAATAAAATTTTATATTTTCATTACTTTAGCAAATTATATTTAGTACTAACTTTAGATTATGTTCAGGTAATTACATTTTTGGCTATAAAAATGTTTACTATGTATTAAACATTTTAAGTCAATCTGTAAAATATAACATACTGCAAGGAATTTCAGTAATTTTTAGTATGTAAAGAAATATACAATTGCATTCGAACAGTATTCCAACTTTACTTGAACTTATTACACTTTTACATTATTACATTTTTTTTTTTACAAATTTTCCTAAATTTGGAAAAATCTTACATTTAGTTGATACTGAATAATTTTTTTTTTTAGAACCGATTTACAAAATTATTTAAAAATTCGATTGAAAAAATGCTATAATTTATTTCTATCAGATCATCTGAGACAAAAGAAAAAAAAGGAAAAAAGTTGCACACTTACTGTTTGTTAAAAAAGATCTATAATGTATCAACATTTTACTAATTTCATTTTATAAAATATCTAACTTTTTTAAATTAGGAAAAATATTCATATTTATTGTAATGTAATATGTTCCAAGCTACAATATAGGGTTAATTTATAAATTATTTTTGTTAGTGCACTTACGTAAATGGTAGTAGTTTTATTTGTACATATGCTTCTGGCAGGGATCCATAATCGGCATCATTTCTCATTTGTAATCCGTTTGCTGCCAATACAGATATTGATAACTCATTCTTTCCATCTCTGTACCAGACTTGCATCTGAATACCACCGATGATATTTCTTTCACGAATGGGTTCTTCCAATGATGATTGCGTAGCTCCAGATGTCTATAAAATTTTACAACAAATATTGTCACCTATTGATAATATTTAATGCTACGTCTCATGCGATAAACAACACAACGAGGACCTAATCTTTTAATGCATTATATGTATAAGACATGATTAGACAAAGGAGGTATTAATACTTAGTGACAAGGAAAAAACTAAATTGTTTTTAAAGAGTATCATTTCTAAATTACATATTGAGAAATAAAAATGTAATTTTTTAATTTATATAAATTTACACGTAAGTAATTTATTTAATGAAGTTAAAAAAGCTTTCAATTTAATATTTTTACAAGTATTTTATGAGTGAAAATATCAAAATGAATAGTTATGAATGTTATTTTAAATACAATGTTTAATCGGAGTCAATTACAATCTAATGAACTGATACACAAAAATTGACAAAAAAAAAAAACAAATAAATATTATGAAAAAAAATCATAAATGGAAGCGAACATGCCAAAAAATGTTAGCAAAGCAAAGTTCGAACACAATATTAGTAATTTATAATTTGTTCAGCGTTGATGTTTTTAATCATAATATACGACGTTTAACATCAACGATACATGTTAATATATATTGTGGTATCAAAGGCTGTCGATGGTTTAATGTGAACATTTAGAATGTTATAAATTATACATGATTTAAATGTGTAGTAAAAAACAATTAATGATAAAATGACATAAATTATATATTCCTTCGACGAAATCGAAAGATGATGGATAAAGTACAATAAACTATACAAATCATGTTCATGTTTCTTAATACAATTAAATGTAAAGCCTAATATAATTATTAGGTAAAATAATATTATCGATAACCTACTCTAAAGGCGTAACGTAATATGAAACAATCACAAGGGAAGTGTAATGCCTATGTATTTAAGTTGTATAAATAAGCTGCAAGATGATGAAAAAATGTAACATACAATATATTAAGAATGAAAAATTCATTACATGTCAAGCACACGATATGAAGCTGTAAATAGTAAAAATGATGGTTGCAAACGAAGTTTAGCAAAACCATGACTATAGTCAGTTATTTAAAAGGCGCATTGCCGCATATTTAGGATTGTCAGATAAGAAAAATGATAATATTTTATATGAAAAATGGCCGAAACCGATGAATTGAGATCACTGAATAAATCAAATCGTGCTGAGCTGATTATTTAAGCATATTTTATACACTGAATTTATATTTAATAATCTTATATAAATACTTTGTCTTGTGGCCATTTTTAAATAAACAAATTTCCTGCTAAAAACAAACTCAAAATTTTTTTATAATAATTATAATTTTCCCTTAGTCATAATAAGGTTGCGTTAAGTCAACAGTTGGTGAAAATTCCGTTAAATCGTAAAGGCAAGGCCGACCCCAAATAATAGGCATAAAAGCTATAGCGATGATGATGATATTGTAACAATCGTAAATATCACAATTCTTTATAAAAATACCTTCAAAGAATTTATATATTTCAGAACATAGAAAAATATTATTTTATGACTAAGCACTTACAATAAGGAAATATATTAATTAATAAATTAATACTCCACTTATTGTTAAAAAATTAAACGATGGCGATTTTTTTTTTAGGTATATATCTCATAATCAAATGAAATAACTGAAAAATAATGGTTTGGTTTCTTAAACGGGATTTTTTTTTAAATAAAATAATTAAAAAGAATTTAACTAAAAAGAACAAGTACAACAAAACGCCTTTTTATTAGTAGAACTTTTAACCATTTAAGATCTTAGTCATAATTTGCTTAAATGCGTGACAAGCAAGGTGTGAATATTATAATTAGTATTGAGTGATATAAATATATCATAAATGATATCATATATTGAAATAGATATATTAACTTACATGTCGATTTTAGAAGTGCTTGGAGTATCCATTACTTTTGAAATTCATATTATACGTGTAATATAAATGTATACATTTTAGAAATAATATAAAAATTTACACTATATTCATTCCTATTCAATAGTTAAATTAAATCAATGTATTATAAAATGGGATTAAAAACATAAGTTTATTTTGTAGTAAAAACTCAGCTGCCGAATTCCTTTGTATATAAATATATTTATAGTGATATTCAAAAGTTCATTGTCGGTAGACTTGGTAAAAATGCATTTAATTATTTATCTAATTATCTTAATTTAATTATCTAATTTATTTTTTCCAGTTAATTTTCATGAACCATATCACTAATAATGTAATATATATTAAATAAAAATAACAACTTTTGAAATAATATTTATGTTTATTTTTATTAGGCCCCTATTTTATAGGTACTTTCATTAATAACAAGAATTATCAACTAAAGCAAATAAATAATGAATAAATTGTTTGTCTTCTAAATACAATTTATACTTAATAAACAGTTAATACCTACACTGACAGTGTAAATATACTAAAAATTAATAAATAGTGTCATGAAATTGTACTGTTAATATGATCTAAGTATAATATATTTGTTAATAAAAATTAAAAAGTGGCTTAACATCATACTTATTTTAAAAATAATCAGTTTTTTTTTATAATTACAAATTATTTTCTATATTTTTAATTTTATGATACATGCTTTGTTTATAATAGAATATTCGATCAAAATCATTTCAAAATTATCAGTTAAGTATTTCACAGTTTTTGTAATAAAAGTTACATGTTACGATATAGATATTTCGTTGTTAATAATTAGAATTACAGAAATTAACTTCAAATTATGACTATTAATTTAACTCTTGAAATAAAATTTGGTTAACCTTTTGAATAGACTGAGATAGAATATTCTCTTACATAATTGATCGCCAACTTAACTAGTATTATTTGTAGATCTTAATTACAACATACGTTTAGAACAATAACGTTTAAACTATTTAAGAGAATACAATTTTTACCCTTGCATTAGAACATAATACATTTAGAAATTGCTAGATCATCTGTACTTTTCCATTAGCACTTAATATACACTAAGTAATATGTAGAATCTTATTAGGTTTGAACTAATTATATAATGAAAATATACCTATACCAACTTCATGTCTGTATTTATGGTATTACATTCATTTAAATTTATTATTATATCAAATAGTTTATGAAACTATTAATTTGAAAATCAGTCTTAGATAGTAGTAAAATTTTTAGTAGTAATTAATAAGTAAACGATATAAGTCCATAATTTATATAAAGCTACAGAACATTAGATCAATAATAATAAAGAAAAAGGTATGCAATATATATTTGTTTCGTAAACACAGCCTTTGAGAAATTATCTATTTAAAAAAGGTGATATAAACACTATAATTACATTAAATTAAACTTATAATTGGCCTATGTACATAAAAAAAATATACCGGCAAAATAATAAAATAAAAATCCAAAATGCACTCGCTATCTACTAAATCAACATACAGGTAAAACAGCATTATCCTTCAGAAATATGAACAAGTTGTTTTAATATATAAAGTCATTTTATTAATTTATAAAATTTACACTCGATAAGTATTTGCAATGCAGTGATTACGTTTTAAAAAAACTTCAATTTTCATTTTATTAAAAGAATAATTTTATGATAAAAAATTAACTAGTAAAGTAAGTAAGGAAACAGGTAAATTTTTACAATCAATGAGAAAAATAGAAACCGTTTTCTTACTTACTAAGCACCCTATATGTACATATGATGTAACTACAAAATGAAATGATCTGAGTAGCCTTTCATTATTTAATTTAATAGTATAAAAATAAATTTAATATCGATTAAGTCTCAAAAGTAGAATACCGTGGAAGATATTTCTGAAGGATTGTAACTACTACTGTACATACATCGTTAATGTATAAATATTATACCGGAGTCTTGGGAAGTTTTCTTCTAGTGGGCGATGCCGGTGAATCAGAACCATCTGAAACGCCGATAGTTAAATATTTTACTAAGAAAAATAACTCAATTAAATATTATCATAATTAAATTGACTTTTATATTTAGGTCATTATTATATATGTCACTGAATCATTATATTCAATCAAATAAAATATTATTCCTACTTTAAATGACTCCAAAACATACATTTATAAAACAACAATTTTTATGTTATGTTAACTTTAATGGATGTTACGAAGAGTTAAAAAAAGAATTTTTTCTTAGTACTCAGACACACCACCATTAAAATCGTACAACCGATTTTTTAAATGTTATACGAAAACTTAAAAGCGTTCATGTTAAAATTAGATAATTATTATGAAAATAAAAAAATATATCTAACCTAATTGTAAGCCCATTGCTTCACCAGAATTTTTCCTCGACGTCATTGGACCAGGTTCATCCAGCAAATCGCATATTCTTCTGAAATAAAATTTAACTCACAAGTTCGCTTACCAACTCATTTTTAATGTTATTTTATAGTATATTCTACTATAATTATATATTTTTTTTACTCGAACTATTAATCAGTTGAAATTGTAAGCACTAAATTCAATCAATTAAGTTCAAACAAAAAAAGAAATCTAAGGTAAAATTTAATATAGAATTTATTTTCAAACTCTCTATTTAATTTATTTCAATTTTTAAATGGAATAGTATAGTGTCATATTTATTTTAGACAATGGTATTTCATTAACCAGTCGACAATAATAAACATATCTGTAAGACAATTATTGACCCCCAAGGCACAATGACTTACAGGCCTCAAGCTTTCAATAGCTAGATCGACCCTTAAAAAGCATAAAGGCCTTTCGTAGTTTACGTGTACCAAAAAAATTGAAATTACACCACTGCTCATATTTTATTTAGCGAAACACGGCAAAATGACGCGTACGAAAAAATAATTCTGTAAGCTGTTTATATTCATACAGTATTACTGCCTGCATTTTTTTCATTGTTAAACCCTTGCAAATAATTTTTTTAGCTTACTGATTTTTAGCTGAAGTATTTTTTTCATAAAAAACATTAAAAAGAAATGTGCGTTATTATCAAGTTTATGTGTTGTATATGTTTTTTTTTTCAAATAATTTACATTTTATTATTACAAAAATCTGAAATAATTTTTATGATATTTAGTGTGCAAAATATAAGGGAACAGGTTAAATGTTACAAACAATGAAAACAATAGAAACCCGTTTCTTTACTTATTGAAAATCCTATATAAAAATTCACGTTTAACAAGTGCGTTTTATACCCCAAATAATTTTTTTGAAGAAAACTTACTTTTATTAACTTAACAATATATTAAACTTACTAAACATATATTTTAATTAAAAATAAATAATATTATTGCGTGTAATAAACATTGCATACAAACCTAAATAAATATCTTAAACTTTCAATAACATTTTTTTGACTTAGATATTTTGAAAAAATTAACATTTTACTACATCACTTAAATATATTTTTAAATATTTTTTTGACAATTAAATAATAATTTTATTATTCAGTTTTGTACGCATCATAAAATTATCTTATTGGTATAAAAGAATTAACTTACAATTCGTATCCTTGTTCAACTAAAAGCTCAACGACATCGCCGGAGCGATCAATGATACCACAAACTTCTTCAAAACTTCGGTTCGCCAAAGATATACCAGCCCATTCAAGCACCTATTGAAAAAATGCAACTGTTTAAAACACAGATTTAGAGGTATATACACTAAAAAATAAAAACGTTTTTTACCTTGTCTCCTTGTTGAAGCCCAGATTTTTCCGCAGGACCTCCGGGAACAGTCCACACGATCGATGCGAACATTTGTCCATCTGGCCCAATTTTGCCGCCTACTACTCTCATTCCAAATCCCCGAGCTAAAGTAAAAAATAAGGGAGATAATAAGAAAAATATCTCGAATTTCGACCATTATATACGATTATCACTATTATATAAAAAGGAAAAAAGTAACGTTTAAGGTCGAGAAACTATATATTTTAAAGGTTCTGACATAAATCTGTCTCTACCTCGACTAATTGGGTGCGTACTGCAACTATGTTAGTGAAACAACTTTTTATTGTATCACTTTACATCATCAGTTAATTCACTTAAAAAATAATTATATCTGAAATTTTATTATAAAATTTAACTTCAATATTATAGTAGAATCAGATTATTTAATTGTAGTTAATTACTTATAAGATTTTGACTAGGAGCTGTTTTGAAAATAAGTACATTGTTCAATGCCCCCCCCCTAATAACTAATGTTATAGATTATAGAAACAATATTTGAATATAAAAGATCGCTTACTAAATAAATTGTTTAAAATTGTTAATAACCTTTTTAGTCAGCAAAAATATTTTTATCATCTCACATTTTTTTTTCTTTTTTTGACCCTAATTAAGTACAAGCTCAAAACTAAAATTACTAGTTGGAACCTTAACATTTATTGTATGATATATTAAAATGTGTGAAGGTAATATAAAACCATTTGAAAATTTATTTAAGAGATATTTCAGTAGTTTTGTTATAGTGTTATTTCTCTATAAAATAATTTGGAAATATAAATAATATTCATATATCTAAATAATTTAAGTTCTATTGTATCTTAATTACCCAGAGTTATAGATCGGTTTATCATAGACCACTCGTTACTCGCAAAATAAATACAATATAGAAAAAAAAATCCAATTCATTTATTTACATATATTATATGATTTATCAGGTAATAATTACAATTTACAATTATCCCTTATAATTTAAATAAGTGTCAACATTATTGTTTTTAACGGCGACATACATATTTAACCAGCTTATAAAATAGGAAATAATCTAATTAAGAAAAAGATTGGTCAACAACTTATGAAATAGCTTTTCTAAAGGTCATTATCAATTTGAATTAATAACTGGAGGTGAGTAATGGATGCTGCTAATTTTATCACCAGTTGTCTTCCATCCGTATTCTTTGTCACGCTTATGTATAAAAATAAGAATAATTTCCAAAGTACTGGTTCAAAAGTTGTTATCAACCTGTAATTTTCTTAATTATCTATTTTATTAGCTAGTTAAATATGTATGTTGCCATGTAAAAAAATTAATTTGATACCACTTTAAGATACCTCAATAAGTCATAATGAATGATTCTAAAAAGTAATTATTAGCTGATAAATCAAGAAATATAAGTAATTAAAAAAAATCAAATTTTTTTTAAATATTGTATTTATTTTGAGTGTAATCAAGTGATTTATGATAAACCTATCACTCTATATATGAAATTTGTTTTTAATAAAAGTTTTAAGAATCCATTTAGCAATAAGAACATTATAATAAATTTTTAAGTGATTAAAGTTTTTAATTTATTATTCTGTTATTCAACAAGTTAGCAATAATGTCTAAACGACCAAACTCGCACATATATTACGCATAATACAGTATGCATAATACTCCAATTAAATTTTTGAAAAATACCGTATAGCTGTTTTTAATGATATGAATATAGGTCAATGTAAAGTAAAGCACATGGAAATTGCCGAGACATTAATACGTATATAATATAGCGCATAATACAAATTCCTGTTACGTCGGAAAAATAAAAGCACAAACAACCACACACATAACAAACACATATACACATGCGCACGCAAATGCATTGATCAAATTAAAAACCATTGCAATATAGTATGCACGAATGGGGTTTTTTTTTTTAATAATTATTGTATAGCATATAATAGTAACGTGTCGGAATATTGTTTTTGTGTAATATGTGGCTTGTAAAATGACATTTTAAACATAAAACAGCATGTTGAAGGTTATTTAATCTGAATTTGCGCTTTCCGACCTTTTATTGTGGGTGCGTGGCTTAAATAGTTGTACAATATCATACGGAAACCGCAAGTTAATCCGAATTTATTTGGGTGGAACAAATTTTGAAAGTGGTATCTAAGCCCGGGATTACTGAAAAAAAGATAAGTTAACTACCGCTGGAAATGTTTCGTGTATTATTTTATTAAATGTAGCAGTTTTTAAGTACTTTTATGTGATCAAGGGGTATTGATTATTTTTTTACTGGACACGCGAATGTAAATCGTAAATTGTCCTACAAAAGGGACGCACTTTCTGTGTTTGAAAATTGTTTACTTTACCACCATGTGATTCTTTACTGAATTCATACACACCCCGTCGTATAATCGTGTGTCCCAAGGGCAATACAATACCATAAATTCAATTATCGGGTAAAGTTTAAAACGAGATTGCTGGGGAAGACCCATCCCCTGTGGTTATTTCAAAAGGTGTAGGATGTTTAAAATTTTATATTTCTATACATTTATACCCCACAACCACATTATCAGCGAGTTGAAACGTAATCATTGGTAAACACGGTTATCCTACCGATTCAAGTATATTTTTAATTACCCGGAACCAACAATAACAATAAACAAACACGTACACTTTTCTTCGAATTTTCCTAAAAGTCAGAATTCTCAAACCTTCATAATGAGAGATAATATTTTCATTTATAACACATTTAAAGCTATGTTTCATTTTACTCGTTATTAATTTACATGTTGAAAAATAGCTTACTTCGGTGAGCTTTATCGGTCATATCACGTTTCAATATCACTTTTCGCTTGGAACCGGAACGAACACCTAAATTATTATTCCAAGTTAATTAAAATATATGTGAACATATAATGCAAATTATAAGCTTAGCCTCTACATTAACTATAATTTCAAGTAATTTTCACAATGTTTAGATCCATCAATAAGGTCATTAATACAGTATTGTTAATTGTGAAGACAACGGTTTTGATTATGCTTACCCATTACGTTGGGATCAAAATCGACGTCGTGTATTACTATTTTTATGTCCTCGCCTGCTACAGATGTTTGTCTACGAATTGTGTCATTTTGTTCTTGTTCTTGTATAGTTGCTGTAGGTGGCTGGGGTTGCTGTGGTTGTTGTTGTAACCCATCTGTATTACATCGGCCGGAAAATGAATTACGACCTCCATTTCTAGAGTCTGCAGCTGACCGCAAACCACTAATATCCGGCCTGCAAAAGAGAAAAACTTTATGTTTAAAACTACCAAAAAACATTTTTTTATAAAATTATTAGCTAAGTAATATTTTTGTATTTACAATTGAGAGCCACGCCTTCGGGGTCTCCAATCTTCATCACATATATTTTGAGAAGGATCTAAAAATTAAATATTTAATAAATTATTACAATACTCTATTTAGTTAAAGAAATCATTTATGCGCAAGTAAATATATAATGAAAAATTAAAAAAAATCATTCCAAGAACTTAGTATAATAATGATAAGAAACTCCATTCCTCTTTCTTATCGATTAAAACTTTATGAAAAATAATAAGTTTATTCGTTAGAATAAACAAAATAGTGCATGAAAAGTTGTGGTACTGGTTGTCGTTTTACAAAAAAAAATGTTTTCTAAATAGAAGTATATTTTTTTTTTATAAGAATAAACAATTTTTTTCAACTCCTAGGTAGATAAAAAACATGAATAAATTACAATATTTTATTAAAATACAGATAATAAATAAAGAAATATAAATATTGAAGATATAAGATCAGCTGAATAAATGGAACTGCTTATAATATTACATAATATAATCTTGGATCAATAGGATTACGAAACCAATGTGAGCTGCAGTGTGAAATGTACCATGAGATGTCTAGTGAAGCTTAAAATTAAACATCGTCGTCTAAGGTACATAAGTACTTATAGAAAAATGATTTTTTGAATTAGAAAAAAACAAGCGCACGATTTTTATTGAAACTATGAGCGAACATGCCTACGAAATTATAATAATGAAGACATTTTTCAAAGTCTCATAAAATAAAAAAATAATATTATATTTATATTGAAAGATATGTCATTTCACAAATATTTAATGAATTTATTCACTTTTAAAATAATTATAAAATAAATAACTTTAATGTTACTTATAACAGATATGATTTTTCGTATAATCGAGTTAATCAATCATTGGACAAACTAGATACCATGGGGGTAATAATCTCTTTTTTTTCCATCACATTATTTCAAAATATGTTAAATTAGTTTTTATATCAATATTTTTAGTTATTTTTAAAGAATTATCTCCAAAAGTATCTACAATTTTTATAGGAGAGAAAAAATAAACACGATATCATATTTTATATTATATAATCTCTTATAAAACTGTAATAGACACTATCATTTTTTCAAAATTGATTGATTTGACTAAAAGCTGTTTTACAGACATTTTAAATATAGCACATCTATATACTATAGAGTAAATGTAAATTACTCTAAAGAAATTTACACTTCTACAAAACCAAAGAAATCAGTTTACTTCTAAAGTATTTAGTTTGTTCTTATAATAAAATAAAATCTGCAGATATTGAATTGTAACATTATTACACTATAAAATTGTGTAATATTTTTACAGGAAGTAAACAGTGACTATAAATTTTGTACCTCTCAATATCTTAGTATTTCGGGTCTTCACTATTTATTTATTTCCCTAGTGAATTTTTAAACTTCGTCTCAAAATTATTATAATGAGAATGTCTACAATTGAAATGAAAATTACAATCTGCATTTTAATGTTGTTCCTTTATTACATAAATTAAATAATCAAGATATAGGGCATGATACACGCTGTAAATTGTCTGCCTGTTATCTTTCAAATAAAAAATTATCAAAAATCAATTGGACTACTCTACTTTTATTTATTAAATGTTTCGTTGTATAATCACGAATTAATCAATATTAATCTTGATTGTTTTAAAACACTTCAAAATATTATCAATCATAACATTGGTATAGTCCGCAAGGAAAACATATTAATATGTGATGTATTTTCTATTTTTCACTGAGTATATGCATAATGTTAACAAAAAGTAGTATTACTAAGATAGTCACGTGCACTCAAAATAAATGTTTTAAAATGCTTACTTTATGAAGGACAAACTTCAAACAACGCAATATTTTTGTTGTGTATGATAGGTATGAACATTATTATCATAAAATAACACTATACCTACTATTGAAAATCCTTACAAGATGGAATAATTAGCTTCGGCTAAAAGGGTCTGACATATTTAAACACAGAAAAGTTATGATGTTTATTATCCAACTAAATTTGCATAAGTCCAATAATAATGGAGAATTCGCCTCTCTCTTCCAAACACTAGCACATACATTCTAATGTATTTATACCATAAATAGTTAAGACTAGAGTAACAGTTCAGCATTTTTTCTTTTTGTATGATAGTGTTATGAAATTTTCGATAATATAAAACTGAGAGAATTTTTATTGAAGAACTTTAAATTTACTATTTTCTTTATTTAATCATCTCTTAATTTAATTTTAAGTAATTGTGAATATATTAAAAACATATGTCATTAGACATTTCTCAGCCTTGTTTTGCCAAGATATAATATGTTAATAACTTAAAATAGTTATTCCACATATCTCAACAACCTATTGTTCTCTATAATTTTTTATGGTATTAACCACCGAAATACTGATACAAATTTGGATCTGGCATTTTCTAAATTTAATCATCTTTGATTTTATAAGCTAGTTAAATATGTTTGTTGTCATTCAATCAAACAAGTGCTTGAAACTAAAAATGACAAAAACATATTTCTGACATTACTTTTATTTAAAAGTAATCGAGATGGTTGCATGGACAAATCCAACTGTAGTATAAAAGCTAAATAAAAACATATAATTACGTAGTTTTTTTTTTCTTTTAGTTTTCAAGTTTAATATTAATATTTGTTTATCTTTTATAAAATAGAAAATACAACTAAAAATGTTACTTAACGATATTTATTATTTCATAAAAACCAACACAAAGAATAAGAAAATATAACTTATTAATTTTATTATATAGTTTTTATACTACATGTAATTCGTCTATCCTAATTGACTCAATCACTTACAAAATAAAAGTAATATCCTTATTTAGAATTTATTTTCTATTAAGTACCATTAAATTAAAAATTATTATGATAAAGCTAGATTAAAAAATAAATGATTGCAATCTCTCTCTCTAAAAATAGAGGTGTTAAATCTTATTAGGTAACTTTTTTGGATATAACTCAATATACCATAAATAGTCAAAAATAAATTATTTTTGCATGTTTTATTAATTTTAACTACATAATTTATTGCATATTTCAAGGATTTTTATATGATTAAATGTTTATAATTTTAAACAATTCAGATGCACATTAGCCGGACTCTAATTATGACTAACAACAAACATTATTATCAATAAACCATTTTAAAATTACCATACAAACGATTATATGTATATATTCTATTAAATTTATACTTTTAATAGAAATTTCTGAACTTATAACACTATTGTATGACACATTTTTTTGTCAAACCCTAGTCGGCTGATCTTTCCATAATCAACAACATTATATTATTTGATAAATATGATTCTATATTTAGTGTAATTAAAAAATACAATTTTACACGTATATGTTTTACTTAGAATATAATTTTACTTGAATTTCAAAATTATTCGTATTATTAAATTTATGTTATACCTTTTAGTGACTGTAAATTATTTCCACTATCATCATCCGGTTGAGTACGAAAACTCGATCTACGATTTGCTGGCGATGAAGCTTGATCCAAACGATTTTGGTAAACATCATAAGCAGACGCTCTTCTTGGCAATTGAGCTGTAAGGATACACGAATAATAAAAATACAAGCCGATCATTAATAGGTTAAAAAGTTAAAAGTTTAAGATAAGTTAGGTACTCGTTTCTCTTTTGGCGAGTTTAACTTTTAATTAAACTAGTTAATTTTTAAACCTGAATATCGTATTGAATTTAAGTATACTACAATAACGTAAAAATAATGTTAATTTACTATTAGTTACTTTTAATTTAACTTAATATACTATTTTCAAAATTAACTTAACTTTAACGAGTTAAACAAATGTGTAAACTTATCCAGCTTTGTCTAAATCAGAATATCTACTATACCATTAAAAATAATAATGTAATAAAATCGTATCAAATTTATAATTTTAACCTCTTACAAATAAATTTTGTTAAGCTAATTTTTTCNAATCGTATCAAATTTATAATTTTAACCTCTTACAAATAAATTTTGTTAAGCTAATAACACAATTTTTATCAATGAATCATCAAATATATCAAAAGCGTTACTAAACGCGTTCCAAATTTATAAATATTTCCTTAACACTTGGTGTTAGATATATCTAAGAAGTTATAATATGTAATAAAAAAAAGTTTATCTGAAAATTACTTTTTGTTTTTACTAATAAAACAAGAACTTTATTGCTACGTGTGTTCGAAATTCAAAATAAATTATTAGAATTCGAACAGTTCAACATCTATCTTGATTTAAAATCTGCAGGTTTATACATTTCTAATAAATTTACATAAATTTTAGATTTTTAATAAGGATTTAATTTTTTTTTTCTTTCATTAATTTAGAATTAAACAAGATTGATCAATGATTAAAATCTTAGGTTATTATTTGTATTCATACCATCATTTATTTACTGTATACGAATTTTATCATACCATTATATTTTATCAATCGAGAAGTTCATAAAAATATGAACGTGAATGTTTTCATTTAATAAAAAAATTCATTTTTCGATAGCCATGATATTATATTTTTAATAAAATATTATGAAATACATATAAATTTAATTGAACTTTGTTCAATATTAATTGAGGTATCATATATTTTAAATTTAAACGTCTCGATAATTAGATTGAAAAATATTTCGTTAAATACTGAAAAAATTAGCTTATTTATTATCATGAAAAAATAAATTACCTTGTCCATCTGCTGTCAAATTTGACACAGCACCCTGTATACCTTGCCCAGTTCCTGTTTTTATATCATCATCGTAACTGTGCTGCTTTTGCACCCTAGACTTTCTTCTAACCCTCTGAACTGCACCACGAGCACCCCGCCTCCATCGATTTTCTGCATCTTCAGGGTCATCGATGGATTCGTCTAAGAGCAATAAAATTAATTTTATTAATTTTTTATTCAAAAAAACTTGCTTAAAAATAATTCTGGAGTATCTAGATATTCATGTTAAAATTTTATGTTTATGTAAATTTAAATTATATTAATTCAAGACTGCACGTGGGAATAATATTAAAAAGTAAAATTTAATTGTTTACCAGTTGGTATAGATATTTTTGACTCTCTGCGAGATTCGTTGAATCGAAAAACAGATGGTTGAGACTGATTCGTATTTTGACCAACAACTGCACCAGCAGATCCACGTTTTTGCCTCAAACCAGTATCTCTACTCCATAATTTATCGTCTGTAATTCTACTTCTATCTCCAACTTTAAGTGCAGCCGCAGCCTAAAAAATTAAACATAAATGTCATATGTATTTAATATCTGCTAAAAACTTTAATTTCATTGAGTAACTATTAAATAATACTATTAAAGCTATATACTAAAATTATTTCAATATTTAAACTTAAAATAAAAAAATTATATCAATTAATAGTTACTAACTTATGTTTTACCTATTTACTAAATGAAGTTTGAGACTTGGCATTACAACTAAAGTAGATAAAATTATAAAAACAATATTAGGATTGAGTCTCTGGTAAAAATGAAATTTAATCAACAAGAACTAATATAGAATAAACATTGCACAAAAATACACGTATGGATTCTATTCAACAATGTTAAAATATTATTTTTTAATTAATAATAGTTTATTATTCATGAAATATTTAAAACAATAAAAAAATTTAAGGGTATTATGTTGAATTTTTATAAAGATTGCTGTTGTAAAAAAATTTCATAAAAATTTAACTGAAAAAAGAGTATTTAGCTCAAAATTATTTTTTAATTTATTTTAAATAATCTGATCTAAGGAATAGAATATTGAAGACAAACTAAAAGCAAATAAATATATATACAAAAAAAAAAAAAGTAAAATAAAATAAGTTTTATCAAATATTACATTAATTGATAAAAATATTATAATATCGACTAGTAAAAAAAAAAATTTAATTAACGCTTTCACTACTTTAGAAGAGAAAATAAATAAAGCTTACATTATTAGCTACTGTTCAATATATCTAGTTTTATAAAATAAATCTGTTTATTTTTCTATTTATTATTATTTTTAAATACTGGAAGATTAAAAAAAATGTGTTTTTTTTTATTTACTAAGCATAAAGTATTAAATTATGTTCGTTCTCTACAGTCAAATATTAGTAATGACATTTTCATAGTAGCGTGTTAAGTTCAGTAAGTAGAAGGATGTAAAATTGATTATTTTTTTTCAATTACTTTTATTTCTCAAACATTTTTTGCTGATGATGTTAATATTGTTCCCGAGATGCGTATGAACGATTTTTTAGTATTTTTTGTGACCTTTTGAATAAAATATTTTTTAGGTTTAAATTAATGTTTTAAATGTATTTGTTATTTTAACTGTATTTTATTCGAACATAAAAAAATCGTTAAAACAAAAAGGACATTATTACGGTAATTTAAATAATGATAAACGCATTACCTTTTCCATATCTTTTAGCGTTGCTGGTGAAACGTCCGAGTGTCGCCTAAGTTCTGGTGACCGTGGTGGTGCTAACCCCGAGCCCAGTGATCCATTACCGGATCCACTACCTCCAGAGTTCCTTCCGATTTTAACATCCGAATGCCGCCGTTGTAGAGTATCTACTATAGGCACGTCTAATAAACTATCTGTAGAATTTTGTGCTAATACTGGTTGTAGTATGGAAGTGTTATGTTGTTTTCTTCGGCAAATGCTACAGCACCACGTGTTCTGAAATACAGCAGATTAAATATATTTAATATAAATACTTAAATAAAATTATTATACAAATAATACGAAATTTAACGTGGTTCTTTTAGAGCACAATAAGTGATGATATTTATTTGAAATTGAATAATTACTATAAATAGTACATAATAATTAATAAATAATCGGGTCTCTTTGTAAACACCAAAAATTTATTTATTTAAATTATAATTTACAGTCAAAACCGCTTTTTATTTGTCCACTTATGAATAACTCTCTAGAAAAACACCTCTATTATTTAATTGCAATATTTACTTATATAAACGCAAGTAGAAGTAATTTTTTTTTTTTATTTATCCAATATGTACATATAATTGTACATATTATACAATATGTATATTTTGTACAATTATAATGTATAAAGTATATTTCTTTTTAAGTTTTTAAATATTTAAGGGTAAGACTGGCCCAGTAACTGTAGGTTTCATTCCAGGATTAATAGTTAGGAAACCTCATCTTTTTAGAAGTCAGTTATAATCCTTTACAGAATATAAAATATAAATTCGTATTTTTTGAATTTCTATTACACATTTTAATATTACACATTTTTAGATTAAATTCTTAATTTTATTTAAAAATAAATATGAATGAAATTTATAATTAAAGTAACATTTAGAGTAAAAGACATAATTTTCATAATTAAATTTTAATATATTAATAAAATAAGCAAATCCGAAAATTGATTAATTGAATTAATGAGTTTTACAGCTATTTAAATAATCGGGGATTTTCTCAATTCGATTAGTATAATTGAATAAGAAATACTTTTTTATAAAATCAATGTCAATAAATTATATTAAACTATTTAAAAAATTTATATTTGATGAAATTATATTTTCATTCATTTTTTAAGTCCGTTATTTTCTTACCATATAAAATATACAAAAACTAAATAAAAAAAGTAGATTATCTAACTTTTATGAATTCATTTAGAAATTTCCCCTTTGAACTAGTGTTTTAATTTAAGTATTTAGGTTATTTTTCAGTATTCTATATACAGTTTATTACGATAAATCTTTTTTAAGAAAACTTTTCTTTAAAAAAATTATTCAACCATGAAATTTGGAATTCTATTCACATCTGTAGGCAAATTGCCTATTCAAAATGCCGCGTTAAGAAAAAACATTGAAAATATTATTAAATTTATATAGTCTTCATTCTTATCATCAATATTGAAAATATAATCTAAATAAGAAATTACGAATGACAAGGCAAATTTCACAATATTTACAGAGATAAAACCCAATAAACTATTTAGCTTTATAATTTTCGAATTATTACTAGTAAACAACTATTTTACAATTTTAAATTAAAAACAACTCACTAGTACGTATACTCTTAAATAATTGGGAAAATTATATTTTAAATAAAATATTTAAATATGAAAATCAATCAAATAGTAAAAAAAAAAATGCCTTTTAGGCAATATTTTTGTATAAATATTTAAATTTATACGAGCTAAAAAAACTACTTTCGTATAATTTAAAAACAAATGTTCTAGTTTGAATAAAAGAGTACTTATTATTATAATTTTTTTACTAACTAGTTGAAGAATGAAGAAGTAGAAGAAGACCAAAAAAAAAAAATACTGGAGGTATGTTATTGAATGCGATATGAGAACTGTTGCATGATGTGCTCGTAGATGATTTGGAAGATCGTGTTAAGTGAGAGTTTAAGAAAAGGGTGACCGACCCCAAGTAGTTAGGATAAAGGCGAGGAAAAAGAAGAAGAAGATTGTTGTACTAACTAGTGTTGACAACCAATTTAAAATTTTGTACACTTATCATTAACGAGTACAAGAAAAATGATAGACAACAGTACAAGTGTAGCAAGAGAACATCTTTAAATGAAAGCAAAATAAGATAAATGACTAACAGAGTACTGTGCGTTAACATAAACTAGAATGGTGTTGGTGAAATGAGTTATAGCCGAAAGCGTAGACAAACCAAACTGGGTGGGTAGACACTGTTAGTGATTAAATAAATTATAATCACATAGTCTTTTTGTAAAAACCAAAGCCAGATCAGTTAAAAGCGAGTACTGTCGTAGAAAGAGATTAGGAAATGTTTTAATGGGGAAATCGTTATACGGATACTCCTTAATGCTTGTGTGTTACTCTAAGAGACAGAGAATGCATACGGAATATGCGGGGCACGCAGCACATGTCATTGAAATCTAATCACAATGGCTCGATCGGTTGATCCATGGCTGTACACTTGAGCTTCATTAAATCCATGTCAATCCCAGGGTAGAATACATTTTTTTTCAATAACGACACACCATTAAGATTACAATTTTTCGAATGTCACGTAATCAGCTGTTACCCTTATGATATTTTATATCAATAAATTTAACTATTTATATTCATGTGAGAACAATAAACTTTATAAGAAAATAAATTTTGTTTATGCTTAAAAAGAATACGTTGTTGGGTAAAACACATACTAAAATATATTTGAGCGTAAATCTTTTAAAAACTGACCATTTAAATAATAATGAAGATGCTTATATTGCTATAAAAACTTCAAAGAAGTTTAAACTAAAAAGTCGGTCAAAAGAATTCATCTAATCAATAATTTCTTCCTGTATAGTATAAAACTCATTATATATTAAAAGAACCGTGTTTAAACAAACAGCGGAAATAATCGACAATGTTCAGTTTTATGATTTAATTTATTTTACATGGCTTCAACTAAACAATCAATGACCCCTGTGAAAAGTCACATGGTTCATTAATTGGTTTCAAGACTAGTTGTCAGTCAAATCGTATATTTTTTAATAAGTCTATTTTCAAAAATGTCTATAAATTCAAGTCTATTAATAAAATGTCTAAAGTACGTCTATTCTAGTTTTAGCGTTATATTTTCAATTTAATTTAGAATGGTTTAATAATGTAACATATTTAAAAATGACATGATAAATTCAATATTATTACCTATAGTAATTATTTAAGAAAATATTATTCATCAACCCCCGAGTATTGTTTAACTTTATAACTAATCACTCTTAGATTAACATAGTGTAATCAGTAAGTTTTATCTTTCTAGAAATACTAAGTAGAAGCGGTCGACCTAGCTCAGTCGTGAATGCATTGTCAAACAGTGTGTAGGTACTCCGTTGCACTGGTCTATGTAGGTTTTTCCACCTTCCTGGCATAAGCAATAGCTTTGAGAGGAGGCGTTAAAAATGATAAATTATTTAACAATGGTTGTACTTTCTCATTTACAATATTCTCGGCTTTTCGCGAAAAATATTTAAAGGCTGATTGTTGTCCGTTTTATTTGTTTGATATATGTTTAATTACTGATTCCTCGCTTCAATTTCAGCAGGGTTCCTCTTTTAAAATAACAACTTCTCGTTCTTCTGCTCTACTGCTATTTATACAAGTTGCATTGCAAATATCTCTTAATTTATATTTTCAGCATAATGGCTGTTCAATTTTGCTCGGTTTTTGTAAATGATAATTGAAATTTTTGACGACCAAAAGATTCTAATTTTTAGTTGATTTTAAAATGATCGGTTGTATTTTAAGCGTATTAAATGTAAAAAATTTTATAGTTAGGTGTTATTTAGATCTTTTTCCGTAAAACCATTCGTTCAAAGTTATACAGGAATGTATAATATACTGTAATAGTACATTGAAAAAAGATATTGTGAAGTAAGATAAGTATTGTAAATATGTAACGTGTGACAATATCGGATAGGATTTTTATGTTCGTTTTTTAGCGGTGGCGCTGGTGAGGTGTTTCCATACATCGTAGGTGTGATAAGAAGTAATATAGGTAATTGGTTATGTTTTTTTTCATTAATACACATTTTTTCTTCTTACTTCTAGTATAAATTAAAAGTAACAACATGAATTCATGATGAATTCAATGGATTAATTAACTATGTTTGAGAGAACAGTGAACAAATGCGCACAAATATCAACTAAACTCCTAAACCAATGAACACGGTATGACAGCAAAGACGGAATTAAGGCCAGAAATTAAACTACTACTACTCAAATGCAGTTCATTCACATACTTTACAACACATCGGGATTAATATGTTTATTTTTATATAAATACTTGTATAAATATTATTATTGTCTAATATAGAAAATTATAATTTGCTTCTTATGTTAACAAATAATAATCAAACCAATCTTTTTATATTTGTAAAATAAAACAAATACCATTTAATAACATACCAATATTACTTTAAAAAGTCAATAAATATTTGTTCCGCTATAATTATCCTAAATACACCATTGTGTCGACATATAAAATTTATGCTTAAATTTTTTATTTGTTATATCTAAGAATTATTTTTCATTTAAAAATCAATATTTATTTAATTGAAACGAGCAGTGTTAAATGTTATACAAATAAAAATATACCAATTTTTTATTAAGTATCAAAAATTAATTAAAGTAACTTATTATGTATTTTATATATGTATTATGTAAAATTAACTAAATAACAAATTGATATTATTTTTGTGCAACAGAGAATAATTAATATTAAATATAAAATAATTTCGATGAATTTTCCACTAGATGTGGAAAAGATATATTAAAAATCACAAATAGTAATTAATTTGAATAAGCTAACCACAATGATTTAAATGAACATTGCAAAAGGTTTATCCAATATAACGTTTAATATTCACATTGTTCTTTTGTTTTATAGGATATGAATATACCAACATGAATGTTTTTGAGCTTTACAGCGATAACGTTTGCAAGGGTAGCATATAACAACGAAGTAAATGTATCATGATGGCATATGATAGCCAAAAAGTAAACCTTCGCGCCTGCGATGATGAATGATTGCCAAGAGTTATTTAAACGTACCCATCCCGTACTTAATCACTGCCGGCACCACGTTTTTAAAACCTCTCTACGAAAAGATTGGTAAAGTATGCAAACAGGACAAAGGGGAGGTCGAGAAAAAACGTTAATAATGTGATGAAAAGGGTTT